TGCCCTCTCCTTCCACCTCTTTTTGCCGCGTGTGTTGCTACACAACGCAATCCACCCACCTTAACTGGATATTGTACATGGACGGAGCCCCTACAAGTAAATATTAATAAGGCAGCGACCCTTTATCAAGCATCAAGCATATATTCAAAGTGTTTTATGTATGAACTTAAACTGATCCTCACACAATAGAAGTCCTATGAAGGACCACACTGCTCTGTCGATAGGCACACACACCTACTTCAGGTTTATGCGCCAGGGCTTTTTATTTCTGGAGGCTTTCCCTTAACCGCATCCTCCCACAGCCCCCTGCTAAGGCCGCAGCTGGAGTGTGTGTGCTTTGGCAGAGTGGTCAGTGTGAGTAGAGTTGGGGTGGGGGTGGGGGAACTTGAGGGGAGAGAAATCTCTTCAAAGACACATGAGGTCCCCCCCACACACACACATACCATACACACTTTAAAGATTGTTCTTAAAAGTCCACAAAGTCGCCCAAAGACTTGGTTTCTTTCCTGGCTAACTAAATAGCTCTCAAAACCTGAATTTCTACACTCGGTGCAGGAGCTGGGGGCACTCTTGCTTCATTTTGCCTCTTTTTAATGGTGAATTTCGGAGTCCGATGTCAACAAATCTCAATTCCCCAAATAAAACATGAGGCTGGCCTTCAGAGACAAGGAAACAGATGAACTGTTTATCAAAATTCAGCCGTGGGAAAGATTCTCACGTAACTACAAATGACCACCACTAAAAATAAGTTCTGCCAGGCAACGGCAACCTGCTAAAGGGCACAGGAAGGTAAGGCTTCGTGCCAGTGCGCACTGGTTGCCTGGTGCGGGGTCTCTAGAACGTAGCTCTAAACTTACATGACAATTCTTATCAGCGTTTGGTTCCCAGCTTCAGTGGGTTCCCAGCTTCATGACCCATGTCTCAGCTGAATTTTACTTTTCTGAAAGAATTGTCCAGACAGTAGCAAGCGAGTGCTCAACGCTCGCCAGCCCCAAACTCAGATCTAAGAAGGGGTGTGGGGTGTCAGGGCTTGAAGCTAGGGGGGCGAAGATTCAGAGGATGCCCCTCCCAGCTTCATCGAGACTATAGAGTTGTGAGATGCCCCCCAAACCAGCCTCGCGCACTGCGCCAAGCGCCGCCAAGTGCGCCGGGCGGAGGAGCCGGTGCCGGCCCGGAGCAGCAGGAGCAGGGCGCGGCCTCTAGAGGAACTGTGTGGCTTCTCCAGGACAGTACAGCCTGGGAGGGGGCCCGAGGAGGGTTCCGTCCCAGGTGGAGGAAGTTGGTCCACCACGATCCACCTGGAGAACTTCAGGTGGCTTTCATCCCCCCTTCCCCAGGGAACTCCGAAACACCGGTCACGTCTGCCCCGAGCCCCGGGGAGGAAGAATACCTGAT